TTCCAACCTCGTAAGATGTGTGAGAAAGTGTCCCTATCACCCCTCTTATGTTACCTACGTGAAATTCCAAGAAACCACTGTGAAATCATGGAGCTGCCCTGAGTGCAGGCCAGAGCATCACAATGGCTGGGGGCTGAGATAAAACAGCTTCCGAGGGCAAAACACCATTTCCTGTTTGTGAAATTCCTTCTCATCAGGACAGGTGACGCTCGGGAGACACAGACACAGCACGACTGCAAACAGCCGTCTGAAGCTCCCATGTGCAGTCAGTCAGGCTGTGCTCACGGCTCTATGCCAGCGCAAGGAGACATAAAACACTGACATTTACACTCAAATGCCAATAATCCAAGGAGGTGGGGGCAGCTGGAGTAGAAATTAGCAGTACTTGTCAGGTGCTCCAGCCAGCAGCTCACAGGTAACCCTCACTTCTGTCCTTGAAGGAAGTAATACCATTCTTCCCCTTAGAGACAAGCAAACAGACATGGGCAGAACTTCATTTCAAACTTCTCAGCCTCCCTTCCAAGTTGTCCTCTGACCTTGTAAGTGTGTACCTGAGATGAGTAGGACAGACATTTTCTGTATTTTAGCAAATGTTTAGGAATCCGGGCCGGTGTCCTTCCAAGATGAATCAGAAATTTTGTGAGAAGATGGGAATGGAGGGAACAGAAGCATGGAGTGGGAGGGAAGAACCTGGAGGGAGGAAACACGCAGCCTCTCCTCCCTGAGCAGTCTGGAGTGAAGCCAGCAGAGGAGAGCATGGCCATTACCTTTCATGAGTGGAAAATCATGTGTTCTCACTAGCAAACGTCTCCAGCCAGCTCGCTCCCTTCAGCCACCTTCCATTTCTCACACTTCATACTTTTATTTCCTTCACTAAGTATAATTTTTTTTAAAAACCTACCATGCAAATAAAGCTGGCAGTAATTAGCCACACCTGTCTCTCCATCCATCCACCAGACACAGCTTTTCTGCACACATTCTGGAGGCACAGTCTCTGCCACCATCTCATACAAAACACGCTGGCCAGCAAGCTTCTGTCCAAACTCTTGCTGGAATCACTAAATGCAACTGAGCCTGCATCACACAGTCAACACTTCCTTCTCGGCCTTCTTCCCAGGAGCTCACTATACTTCCTCAGCCAGGGATGGGGGGCCGGCACTGCCCGCCAGCACCCCTGGACCTCTGCATGGAACTGCCTCCCATCACCATCCTCTCCCCAGAGATTCAGGCCAGTTTCTACTTTCTCGATACACTAGAGAAAAGCTTTCCATCCTATGCCCATGCTAGTTATTGCTTTTATAAACAAGCAATAATTCATGAGAGACCAGAGTACATTTATACAGGAAACGCCTAGAATGTAGACCCCAGTTGACGTTCACATGTGTACTTATGTGGGAGTGGGGTACAGCACACTAACACTAGTGCTAGTCTGTGGGCAAAGAAGGATCACTTCAGAATAGGCCCCAGGAAATGACTGTGCAGTAAGGTCTCTGGAGTAATGAGGGAATGTTTTCCAGATAAAACCAAGTCATAAGCAGCAGAAGCACCCAAGTCTAAGAAAGTGATCCAACAGATGAAACACACCAAAAACTCAAAAAGTGTTCAAAATAGAAACTGCCAAAAGATACTCCCTCTTCTACAGAACCCAGCTTGATTAAACCTGGTGCCCTCCTACCAAATATATATGTGCATATTTATTTATTCATTTGTTTATTTGGATGACACTGGGATTTGAAATCAGGGTTTCAAGCTTGCTAGGCAAGTGCTCTACCACTTGAGCCCTTTTTTGTGTTGGGTATTTTCAAGATAGGGTCAAGACTGGCTTCAAACCACAATCCTGATTTCTGCTTCCTGAGTAGATAGGCTTACAGGGGTGAGCCACTGGTGCCCGGCTACATGTGTATATTTAAACTTTTCAGGCACACAATCACATGTTTTCATTAGAAAAAGCCACCAACTCAGCAAAGAATGACACATAATCTCAGAATTAAAAACTTTTTCTCCTTCACTGACCTAATTTCTTTTAGGTCAAGTACAAGTTTTATAAAGATAAGCATATCCTCAAGTAACTTTTGACCTTAATAGATAATTTTCAGGTTGCGATTTAGCCACATGCTCCTATAGCCCTCCACCAAGAGTACTTTGCCCACAGCACACCTTCAGAAACAACAGCCCCCTGAATTTACCAAGTGAGTTCACTAGAACACTTCTCAGGGGACCCGAAGCTCATATAACAAAAGACCAAGTCTAATGAATGCTTGAAATCCAAATTAAGGATTTATGTGAAATCTAAGAATTAAAAATATCAGATATAGAACAAGTTTGAGAATTATTTAAGCCAGGTGATGGCAAAATGAGGATTCATCACAGTAGCTTCTCTACTTTTGTCTATAATCAAAAAGTTTAAAAACCAAAGAGAACAGGTCTCAGAACGCCACGTGAGTTCGTGACAAAGAGGTGGACCAAGTCAAAAGCTCAGCATGCTGAGTGCTGACACAGAGCCTATGTGAACGCCAAGTGGGGGCAAAACCAAGTGCAGGGCAGTATTTGAGGCTGGGAACACAGCCTTCTTCATAGCTGAGGAGAGCAGGTCCACACAGAACTCCCCCAGACTGTTTGAACACACATGCATACGTACATACCTACGTGAGACAATGCCACTAGAGGGGCACTCTCTCTGGTGCCCACTTCCTCTCTCTAACCAATGGATGGCAGTAAAACAGGGCAGGAAAGTGGACAGGTGTCTCTCCACCCACTTACAATGTGTCCAAGAAAGACATGTATCGCCACACAGGTGCAAGGCCAAGAGCTCAAGAGTTCATCCTTAAAATTTGCAGGACACCCATTCACTGGATTAAGACCATTCTATCCTCAAGAAGGAGGGGACAAGATGGAGAGAAGGGAGGGGAAAAAGGAGGGAGAAAAAGAAGAGGAAGAAGAGTGTGATCTATCTTAAAGACAAATTTACGAGCAAAAAAATAACAAGTGACAAAATTTACTATATTTCAAAGCAGAAAAGACACATCTAAATCCAGTCACACTCCAAAGTCTCAAAATATATGTTCTACTTTTGTAGAAAAATCAAATACAAGCATGTAGGGAGGAGGGTGGAATATTATTGAGAATTTGTCAGCCAGATGCCCATGGCTCACGCCTGTAACCCTAACTACTTGGAAGGCTGACATCAACAGGATCAAGGTTCAAGGCCAGCCCAGGCAATGGTTCACACAAGAACCCCATCTCCAAAATAACCAGAGAAAAATGGATTGGAGGTGTGGCTCAAAGAAGTAGAGCACCTGTTTTACAAGGGCAAATCCCTGAATTCAAACACCAGTCACACCAAAAAAAAAATTCAAAAAATTATCCACCTCATTCCAGTGACAGAATTACCCCCCATACAACATGTAGAGAATTTCATTATAAATGAGATTAAAATCATTGAACAATGAACAAGATAAATAAGATAGCAATTCACAGTTTACATTTAGTAATAGGAAATTTTAAAGATATTTTTCATGAATATTAATCACAATTGAACTTGTAATTAGCCCTTGAACATTTTCCCACAACAGAAGCAAAGCCACAGAATAGCCACAGACATAACAGCAGAAATGCAGTAACAGTCATCTTAAGACACATTTTTGTCCTTCAGTGGTGTTTTTAGTGTTTAACATCAAAAGAGCCTGAGTGCGCGATACACACAGCATGACTACAGTTGTAACTTTCAGGAGCCCATGAAGTAAGGGCATGAGAAATTCTCAGACTCATCAGAAGTACCCACTGCATTTTGAAATCAACTTTACATTAATTATAGGCAAGCTAGAATATAATGCTAAGGTGACATTATCAGAAAATCATAAAAAATACTTTAAGGAATAAAAATACATTTGGGAAAAGCTAGAAGAAATCTCTAGCAAGCAACTTATCACATTTTAATTCTTAAAAAATAGGTAGATTTGAAAACATATCTTAAAATATTCATGGGCTAAATATGTCACTAAATGTGTGCTAACAAACTCAGTGGTGTTTGCCTAGCATGTCCAAGTCCCTGGGTTCCATCTCCAACACCACAAAAAAAAAATTAACTTGCCAAGTAAGTGGAAATTATCTTCAATTATAAAATTGTTACTTGTTATTAAAATGTGATCAAGATGAAGGCAAAACCAAACACACAATAGAAAAGAGCAGGACAGAAGGCCAGGGGCAATGAGGAGAGATCATGGGTCACACTGTCCAGTCACAGGGAGATCACTGCACTCTCCTCCCCAAGCACCAGTTCCTAAAAGAACACCTCAGGTAACTATTACTGACAGACCACAGGTGAAATGATAGGTAAAACTTTCCTATTCTAACCTCAGATTTTAGTCATCTGAAACAAGCAGATTTTTAAACAAATTTTTAAATCAGCAACAGCTATGCTTTCATATTATTTAGAACTCACTTAATCAGAGTGGATTCCAGTGAGCTTTTCACTTCAAAGGCAGGTCACGTGCTGAAACAACCACCATAAACTTAACCCTTTAGTAAGAAGTAACAAAATACGTGCTCCTTCCTCCTGAGATAAGAAGGCAGATTCTGAGCCAGGCACCAGTGGCTCACGCCTGTAATCCTAGCGACTCAGGAGGCAGAGATCAGGAGGGCTGCAATTCAAAGCCAGCCCAGGCAAACAGTTCGAGAGACCCTATCTCGAAAACACCCATCACTAAGAAGGGCTGGTGGAGTGGCTCAAGTTGTAGGCCCTGAGTTCAAGCCCCAGTACCGCCAAAAAAAAGAAAAACCAGAAGGCAGATCCTTGCTCCGAAAAGTATGCTGAGGGCTGACAAGGAACACATTCAGGCCAAAACAAGAACACCGACAATAGTGTTCATAAGCACACCTTCTCTCGAGCTCTGTGCCCTTGGGTATAGCTAACATACACATCAAGAATCTATAACCAACCAGAATCCAAGGTGCAAAGACTGATTTACGATATCAGTGAAGAACTGAGACTCAGCACTTACTTTTGCAAAGGCTTCGAACACATCAAAGGAAGGTGGGAGCTGAGAACCATCCTGAATTTCTTCTCTCAGGAAATGCTGGAACGTCAATGCAAGCTGCCTGAGGCCCTCTTTCTTATCTTCAGTCAGTTTGCTAACATCTTTTTAAAAAAGAAAATAAATGGTACAATCACCAACTAAGCATAATGGATAATTGTCAGGTGTTCAATGCTGGTTGTTAAACCAGGTATTTCCTGCCTGTTCTAACGCCTTTTTATTTCTTGGACAACTACAAATCATGATACATACTTAAATCAGTTAAATTCTGCCAAATCTTATCTATGATATAAGATCAAACACCCATCAAGAAATAAATGAATGCGCATACAGATGAAGAAACCTTAAAACCAAAATCAGTAAGGTTATACATTACTGATCTTCTACATGCTCATCCACACATGTACACCATAAATCCTAATGAAGGCAGTGAATCCAAACTGACTTTTCCATGAAATAATTTACAACTAAGTCATGACTAACTGATAAACAATATCATCTCAAAGACAAGAAGACAAAAAACAAGAAGTAAGAAGTTCAGATAAAGTTCAAAAAGTAAAATTTGTCATACAGACCAAAGAAATCTCAACTTCGACTTATTTCTAAGTTGAATAAATATATCTAGTGCTGCTTTCATGCAAACAGAAATGCAAAGAAATGTTTATGATTCTTTTTGTTTGGGTCAAAGAGAAAGACTCTAGCAGAAAAATGTTATAACTGACATGAATCAGTAATGTTACAGGATACATAACACACAAAAATCATTAATATTCTTATACGGTAATAACACACTTGCTGAAAAAGAAATCTCATTCATAATAACTACCTCGAAAATAAAATATCAAGGAAGAAATGTAACCAAGGAAGTGAGAGACCACACTACAATGAAAATTATACAACACAGATGGAAGAAATTAAAGAGGACATTAAAAAAAAGACATCCATGTTAATGGATGAGGCAAGAGGATCAAGAACTCGAGGCCAGCATGGTCTACACAGCATGACCCTGTCTCAAACAAAACAAAGCAAAACACAAAAGAAATTATTAAGTTTGAGAAAGAAATGCTAATAACCCTGATTTATCATTACATATTATATACACACATTAAATTATTGTATATACTCCATAAATTTGTACAGATACTATGTGTCAATTAAATTATTATAAAAGAAAAAAAGAAAGATGGTTCTAAAGCAAATACAACCCCTCAAAAATCAGTGTAAATTATATCACAAACGGTGCATGAAGGGTAAGAGTGCAACATATAATTAAGAACATTGAGAACATGTCACTTAGGCGGTGTGTATGACAGTGCTACTAAGCAGGGCCAGTGTTAATAGTAAAATTCTCCGTAAGAGATGCTAATTACCTAGCAGGAATGCAGCAGAAAAAATGACTAATTAGCTCTCTATTAAAACTTGAAAAGACACATCAAGTTGAACTACAGCATAACTCTGTTCTTATGTCAGGTGTGCACATTTTCTTTAAATTACTTGTTCAACAGAATAATTAACCCAATGATTCCTTAAATAACAATTCGTTACCATTGGCACTTAGGATCCCATAACCATAATCTGTAGGTCGTAGTATTCGTCTCTGTCCAGAAACGTTAAAGAGTAAGTAGCATATGTGCTCTAAGAGTTCTACCTAGTTTGAGATTACAATCATTGACATCAATGAAGAGACTCTGTGCCAATACCAAAGCAAAATAAACCTGATGAGCATTTGACACTCCCGTCTTGACACTCTTTCAGTCACCCTATAACTGACTACCACCATCTTAGTTCAGGAAGAGAGCAACACTAAATACTGTCATGCAGCCTAAGTCACCTGTGCCTTCAGCTTTCCTTAGTATCCAAAAGTTCCCTGGACCTCCCTGTTCACTACCTCACTCTTCCCCGATATCAAAAGGAAAGCAGAAAAGGAAACCAGGAAAAGGAAGAATGGAGGAAAGGGAAAGAAGAAACAGAAGTTATCAGTGGGCCTGCTGGGGTCCTTCTGCTTTCCTGGAATGGAAATCACCAGTAGGCAAAGAGGAGCAGTGCTACTGTTGGCAGTGGACTGGGCTGACAGACTCAGAGGCCCATAGCACCAAGTCCTAGGAACTAGAAGCTATGGCTCCAGCCTTTAGAAACCAGACACTCACAATTGTAGGTGCTTAGATAGGGGCTTACTACTCAGGGTTCCCACTGCCAGCAACCAGGCACTCAGTGGCTAATGAAATCCTCCGCTCTAAGAATGAGCTGGCCACAACTGTCAGCACCAGCTAGTGCTACAGTTCTTCAGTCCTGGGTGTCAGGACCCTCAGCATTTACAGCAGCTAACACTGCAACTCTCAAGCCTCAGATGTCAGGACCCTCCACCTTTAGGGTTTGACAACTCCCAGGAATGCTTCCAGCACTGGGGTCTGTAGTCCCTCATCCAATGCCTTCTTTAGTCTTGACTCCTCCATCATGTCCATCTCCTTTGCTCTCCGCTGCTTTTGCCCTGGTCACTCTCCGGAGTTCTTCAGACCCCCTCTCACCACCATACAGCTGCACCACTACCACCTCCACTCCTCTTTCTGTTACCACACAGGCCATTCTACTTAAGATAAAAATCACAAGCACATAAGAAGAGACCATTCAGGAAGTCTCTTATTGGGCCTAATGCTGGGCAATTCCCAGAGGGCATAATAGGGAGTGTTCTCCCAACCCACTGAAAAAGTGAGTTGAACAGCCAGCTTTATATACAGGAAGGGGACTGTGTCATGCAAATGAAGCATTGCATTTCCATCAATCACAGCCCAGCTTCCAGTTCCACCAATCACTGGCTTCTTGCTCCCTCTCCAGTCTTGAGTGAGAATAGCTGCAGGGTCATCCAAAGTTCACCAGGGCTCCACTTGCCTGGGATGCTGACTTCCAAGCTGGGGCAGATTTCTGGAGCAGTCCTGCCTGGAGCAAGTCCACCTGGAGCAGGAGATGGGGTTCAGCTACAGGGGTTCTTGCAGCTAGAGTGTCCTCAGAGTGATGGCAAAGTGTCCAGGACAGCCAGGCTGCGTGGCTGGCAGGTCCAGGCATAAGGTCAGGATCTATCCTGTGCCATTCAAAGGCCTGAACAGTCTCCTTTGGTGATTTTATTCATTCACAGAAGAAAGTATTATAAGACACTTAACGATACAGGCTTAAGGAAAACTTAACACAAAACTAACATTTAACAGTGCCAAACCTCTGCCCCAGTCCCTAGGGAGAGGAGGGTTCCTCTGCTCTGTCTCAGGTACACTACTCTGCCTTTCCTGGACATCTTCATAGTGCTTTGCAAACTCCTCTACAGCCAAATCCCTGGAATCAACCAAATATACTTACGTGTCCATTGTTTATAAAAGCAAAAATTTTTCTTAGATTTCTTTCGTGTAACAGACAGAAAAACAAAGTTAAAAATAAAGCAGTGGGTGGAGCGGAGGAGAGACTTCACAGACAGTGTGTGTGCTTAGAACAAGTAAGGCCTTGGATTCAACCCTATTGTGTGTGTTTGTGTGTTAGGGGGGAGGGGTCAGCTCACCAGCTCAGCATTTTCAAAGGTGTTGACAGCAATCACTTACTTGACTCCAGATCATAAAATGAGTATAGCTTCTCCGATTCCGAAGGTGTTTCTTCCATCTATGAGGGAAAGGGGGAATAGCAAAAACAAGCTGAAATGCTCCTGTATTACGCTTGGGGACCCTTGGATATTTAAACATAAAGCTAAAAATTGCTATTTACTACATATTCCTTATCTGCAGCACTTTTTTATTAGAGTTGAAGTACTTAATCAGAAACAATTTTAAAATCTAGCTTACAACTTCACCTACCAGATTAATCTCCAAATGCAAAACTGTTTTACAAGATGTTTTCATACTTTTACATTCTTAAAGTCCTCTATAAAATCTCAGACTGTAAAAATGTAATGGAAAGAACAAAGGTGGAGCCTGGAACAATTTGAGAAAGATATTCAAAGCCCAACCAACAATCAGGAAGGCCTCTCAGGGCAGAACTTCTCAGAACCTGTGCTGTCACTTATGAAAAAGGGCTAAGAAATCACTGCAAGAAATCCTGGCTATAATAAAAAGGACAAAAATTCTTCATCTTATTATGAATTATTTATTACATAACTAATATCTCATTTGAACAAGCAACTAGGAAAGCACTTACATGTCCTGTGCACTGGTTCACAGTTCAAAAGTTACAAAGGCGATTTAACAGTTACTGATTACTAGCATTGACATCCCAAACGTGGGACCTCACGACTCTATTCCGAGAAGGAGATACAGGGCCTTCAAAGAGAGGCTGTGCACTTCACTGCCACTGATCCCATGACTAATAGGAAAAACAAGTTTGTATCCTAAGATACTGCCTGGAATAATCTACCTTCTACCTAAACACAGGTTCAGCTTTAGCCTTCAATATGAATACCAAATACAAGGACAAATGCTTTTATTGAATTAACCCCAAGCCTCTTTAGGCAGTGATAACTCACAAGTCTGAAGACGACTCTGCTGAGGAGGCGCACGGAGTCGGGAGGGTACCTGGGTTTGCAGCTTCTGAGGCATTTGCATTCCCGCTTGTGGTCCTGCCAACCTTTTTTCTGTACAAGAGTGGGAAGGACATCAGAGACATAAAATTTAACTTACACTTACACTGATGGCTTATATAATTCTCATCTATAGGAAATAGAAATATATGCCATGCAAAGTATTTGTTCTAAGAATGCTAGTCACCAGGCTGCACAATGCATACAAACAGTTCACAGCTACAGTGCCCTGTCACAATATCACTCTACTGCCATACTCACTTGAAGGCATGGTATTAAAATGTCACTTGGTAGGAAAACAAAAGTTTGTTTTCTGGGGACTCACGTGGTTCCACTGTGAAAAAAGTTTGAAAAACACAAAATCATGTAGAACCTGCTTAGATAACATTGAGCTCAGGAAAAGTTCTAAATGCTATGTACTAAGGAAGTTTGCATCAATTTTCACATATTTTCCCTGGCTTGTCATTGCATTGCCATCCTTGGGAGACAAGCTGGTATACACGGATGGCCACAGGTGTGCCTGTGAATGAGAGAAGGTTCAGCAGACAATCCAGGGTCCTCTACACTGACCAGAAACTAATGTGTTGGTATTGCTTAACACTGAACTAAGACTGGACCATAACTTTTCTGGAAAAGTGTTCATTTGGTCACAGAAGTCTAGGGGGACAGACGGTATGGCAGGGGGTCCTGAGAAAGTACCTGAGGCTCTGGTTCTATGCCTGAGGAAGTGTCCAGTTGCAAAGGACCACACTGAGCAAAATAAGGCAGAGATGATTTGGAAAAAAAGATTTTCAGAGCCCATTTTAATCAATGCATACAAGAGGTCATCTATAGCCCTCGCTTGAAGCCTCTAGATTTGAGCAGCTCAGCCTCCTCAGGGAACCATAAGCACAAAATGTACCTCACATCATGAACCAACCCATCAGTTAGGTGACATTATTTGCAATTCAACATCCAAATTTGGGAGATTTCATGTAAAAATGACTTTAGGTATATAAGATAACTGATACTGAGTTCTTATTTCTCAATAATGATTAGAAACTAGGCAAAATGTTCTTAAGGCTAGTTCTGTATCATTGCATGAAAACATCAGGCAACACATTTACCTTCCTGTTAGCTTAAGTTAAAAAAAATAGTTTATTCTTTTCACTTAAAAGCTAGATCAACCATCTAGGTATGGATGTGGAAAGTGGTCACACCCCTTGACACAAGTCTGTTCCGAGTTTCAGCCACTCCACTTACCATATTAAAGCCCATGCTTTTAAATCATAATTGTTAGGACTTACTGCTCTGCTTCTTAACACACTGCAGAAAAGCTTAAAAGAAATCTTTTAAGCAAATCCATTTGGTTTTGAAGCAAAACCTGATCCTCACTGTACAGACTTTGGCCTTGTCTAGACCTCAGTGGCAGTTTCTCAGCAAGGAACTTCTTGAATTGTATCCTATTCTCCTCTATTTATGCCAGTAAGGATGTAACCAAGATTTTGTTCACAAAAATGTTTTCTGTTCTCATAGCTGAAATTCACAGTGAAATACAATAAACATGAATTGGCATGAGAGAAAAAGGAAATTAAAATATTGCACTGAGAAGCAAGAACAGGACTGTAGGTGTGGCTCAAGTAGTAGAGCACCTACCCAGAAAGCTTGAGGCTCTGAGTTTAAATCCCAGCACTGCCAAAAAGGAAGAAAATTAAAAAGAAGAAACAGCAGCAGCAAAGACATCAGTGAAGGGGGGAGGGGAGAGAATGGAAGTGAGTATGATCAAAGCACATTATATCGTGTATGCAAATGTCATGATGATGTCCATTATTTTCATATTAAAAAATCCCAAAAATGACAAAAAAGCAAAAGGGAATATTACTGGAAGTATTCTAAATAAAAGTTTCCTATGAACAACAGGAGATAAGAGTTTTAGATGGGGAGAAAGGAAATGAAAATGTCTAGGATGCAATTCCACCCATCGGCATGTGCATGAATCAAAAGAGACAGCATCTAACTCTGCACATTTGCATAACTCATGCAGCACTTACAACTGCTCACAATACAAACTAATTAGCTATCCCCAGGTTCTCAACGGGGTTAGTGCTATCTTCAGAGTTGTTTAGGAAATTTATGAGGGGTATTTTTGTTTGCTACAATGCTTGCAGGGTGTGATGGGCACTTACTGAACAGAGCACTAGATGCTCGAAATCTTGTGTAAACCAGTTCTATCAGATAAAAACTGATCAAATCCAACACAAGTTTTAAATGTCCTGCCAGACATTCTATACAGGCAAAAACTTCTTTGTGATTTTCATAGCCTAGAACTAATCGTTTTTTTTTTTTTTTGGTGGGGCTCTGCACTTACAAAGCAGGTGCTCTACCACTTCAGCCATACCTCCACTCCATTTTTGTTCTGATTATTTTGGAGATGGGGGGGGTCTCATGAACTATTTGTCTGGGCTGGCCTCAAACGTTGATCTTATCTCAGCCTCCAAAGTACCTAGGATTACAGACATGAGCCACCAGCACCTGGCTAGAAGTAAACCTTCTTTTACTTGTTTCTACATAGATCTAATAGCACCGAAGTTTTTGGCAAATCAAAGTATCATGTGAATGCATTACTTTGTAAATGTTAAAAAACTGACACCAATGAAATCTTATTTAATTCAGACTCATCAACAAATTATTTTTACATTGGCCTTATTTATATCTGGTTTTCCTTAATGAATGCACTTCACATGTAACAGGGTTCAATAGACATCTTCTCACTTATTCTAAAACCTGATAAAATTTACTATATATTATCACTTATCATTTGAAACTAAGGCCATTCCAAAAGAAGACATAAAAGCAAAATCCCTAATGACCGTTGAAGAATCTGAAAGGCTCCGAATTGCTTGATGAGGAAAGGCATGGAATGTCAAGCTACAGCAACAGAAAGGAGAATCATTTAGTTCTTTCTTACACAAAATAACACTTCTACCATTATTATTTTCCTCTCCTCCTCAGACACAAAATAACTATAGCTCACTCAGTTATGCATTTAAATGCTGCTAAGCACTGGACTTTGGTGAGTAGAGACCCATTTGGGTCAATTCATTGTTGTGTAAGATGGAGTGTGGCAGAGACCATCACCTATGGCACTGATGATGGTGCGTCACAGATAAATCATCAGATAGTTACTGTGTCAAAGGACTGTATTCAAAGATCTGAGGCAGCCTTTCAATGATAAAATTCTGTGACTCTGTGACATCCAGTCCCAACAAATAGCCGATTAACTTCAAAGCAGGTTTGACCTCTACTTTGCAGCACTGAAAATTTGGAACTGTACTTTCCTCAAATTTTGGGTCATTACGGATGAAGAAGCAGGCTTCAAATAGGTAGAAGAGAAAAGTAACTACCTCAAGCCAAACGGTCCAACAATTTCACACAACTACCAGTAACAACATCTTCCACATGGAACATGTGATACTGTTCATCTCCACACTCACAACTCCACTCCACTCACAACTCACTCCACTCATGAACACTCATCTGCTGAAGTTTCCAATGGACAAAACTTCATAGTTAAACTGCCAGGCATCTTGCAGGAAGGAAGAGAGACCTGAAAGTTTTCCATTCCCTTCCAGACTACTTGATAGCAAATAAATAATACCTCCTCTTTGTGTTTCAAAAAGTTCAACACTGAATTACAGCCTGTCAGATGCAAGAAGATCAGAAAAGCTGGGATCTGGGAAAAGAAAACAGGAAAGCTAAGCCAGCTGTCTAACAGCTGCTCTTGACTGACAGGTATTGATTAAAATCTTGCATGAAACCTCCTTAGAGCACGCTAGAGATTCAGTGATCGACAGTAGACTTATCATTTTAAAAGCTTACTGCATCAGTATCAAATGCAGAGCAAGAACACCTTCCCACTGGCCCCAACCAAATTATATAGGTAGGGCCAAATATAAAGAAAGAACGAAGGCACAACTTATCAGAAACCTGAAACAAGAAGAAATTATTGCCACTTAGGAAATGGAAATTAAGTCTCCTGGATAACCCAGAAACCATGTGACATGAGGCAATAATAAGTAACATCAGTGACACAAAGTAAGTCACTCATCACCCAGCACAGGTTACCAGAGTACAGCTCACAAGTCAAATCCACCCTGCCCCTCCTTCTGCACTGCTATACTGGAATACAGCACATTCCTAGGTGCAGGCACTCATTTCATGCTACCAGAGTTGAACAGCTATAACAGAAATCACATGGCCCACAAAGCTAAAATAATTAATATTCAGCCCTTGAAAGAAAAAGTGTGCCAAGCCCTGATCTACTGAGAGATCATACCAACATGGACTGACTCAAATGATACATTTTAGGGCAAGAACAAAACAAATAATCCCTCCTATGGACTTCTCTCCTACCTGAACAAAACCTCTGGACTAGATAAATCAAAGTATCAATATCAGGTTCTCCTTGAACATGACAGAAGGGACCATTCATTTTCTTTCTCCAACATAAGTAATTATATGGTTTTTAACTCCCCAGTGAACTAAATGGTTAAGGGGCTTAATCTCATCAGAAAGTCTAAAAGTGTGGTAACAACTGCCGGCTGCAGACAAAGGGCAGAAAAAGCCAATGAGGCACATTGGTGACAGGAGCTAACCTGCGGGCCAAACTCCAGCAAGGATCTAAAAGGAAAATCTATATAGCAGACAGAAAATGGGGCTGAAAAAGAAGATAATTAACCAGTCATCAATGTCTGAATCACCTCCCTACCACTGGCATGACTTACAGTAAGCAATGGAGGGTTAAATGGAAAATCCACATGAACTGTCTCTGACTTCTCCAGTCCAGACACTGCTCGTCTCCTGGCTGGCCTCCTGCCCTCACTCTTCCACACTGGTGTTTTCTTGCCTCAAACAACAGTCTCATTTTTTAAGTGGCTACAGTTCAGTCTTACCAAAAAAAGAAATATGATCAGTACACAATGGTTCTGTGGTGAACTCTATTTTCCTAAATAACTTACAAAAGTATAATTTACATTTCAATAAAATAAAGGCATTTTAAAATAGTTTGATGATCT